ATCGACAGTCATTATTCTGTGGAAGTAGAAGCAACAAACCGATGCTAGGAATTAAAGCCCCATTGATGGCCTAGTGGTAAGGATCGCGAACGCTATTACCACCTAGTCAAAAGACAGGCCTAGTCATAGTCCCGGCTTTGGACAAGGACTGCTGCCGTAAGAAAGTGCCAGTAATAGGGTCATGATGCCCCTCACTGCGGCAAATACGATTGAAAATCAGCAGAAGGTTCGAGGTTCGAGAAAATTGTATTCGTATTCCCACTCACGGACTAGGGGTCTTCCGAATTCGAAGACATCGATCACATTTGAGTTCTGGCACTAGCAGTGACCATCAGAGGTCCTGCCAGATCACTCACCCCCACGCTGATCAATTCCGGCAAGACCCCGTGAAAGCTTCCATTGGTAGCAAGTCCTCTTTCCGTAGGATCAGCTAGCTGAAAGTCAAACTCGCGCAGCAAGGTGCTGGTCAGCTTGTAGATGTTGGATTGTGCCAACGTCTTGCCAAGACACTGGCGACCACCCAGGCCGAAATGCATCAGGTAACGGGCGCGCGCAGCTGTCTCTGGTTGATCCCACCTTGACGGGTCGAAGACGCCGTGGTCGTCGCCCCATACTTGCGGATTGTGATGGAATGCGTGGTTGCACACTGCCACGGATGTCTATGACTCACAATATTAGCTCGATGAATTCACCACTGTGAGTAGCTCGTTAGGCAGAGTAAGTTTCTTTAGGCGAAGTCTAAAGAACATTAGTTCGATCTTACCCCTTGTTTGATGTGACGGCCCGCGACTATGATTCCTTCGGGAGCTGTCACACGTCTCGCCAGCGGCATCGTGAAGACAGGGGTTATACGATAGTTCTCCTTGACACATGTCCGAAGGAATGGTAGGGAGCTTTCTACTTCTGTGATTGAGTAGGCATCTTTCCCGTTGTCTAGAGAAGTCAGGTTCTCGTCCACTTCCTGTACACACTTGCTAAGTGCCTCTGGGTTGTGTAGCAAGTTCCAAAAGAGAAGCGTCGTGGTCGCGCTGGTTGTGTGCGTTCCGGCAATGCTATGAGATGGAGTCAGCATGAGCCGTTTGTGCAAACTCCGGCGTGTCTGAAGTTGGACCTACATCATTCCGAATGCCTCGGCCTCCAGATCAACTCTTGCAATCTTCTCTCCTGTGTCGGGATGTCGAGCTAAGATGAGACTGGTCAAAATGTCTTTCCTCTGCACCTTACCCTTGTTCTCGTCTTCTTCAACCTCCGCCACTCGTCTATGAACACACTCAGCCGCTAGCCCTGCACACTTGGCCCGTCCCGCGAACAAATTCTGCAGACCGGCGCTAGGTATTCGTGGTAGCCATTGCTTGAGGGTTTGCGTCATGGCCGGCCACGCTCCCAAAGTCGAGCCCAGAAGCGTATGTGGGATGACGGGCGGTACACGAGACTCGTCGCCAGAGGCCTGGACCCCAAAGGAGCGACTAAAAGCTAGCTCGCCTAACACGTCAATGGTGTAGAAGTGCAGGAGCTTCTTGAGATCAAAAGCCTCTCCGGTCTTTGCGAATCGTGCGATCTTATCACGCAGGATCTTGATGTTCTGGTCCAAGTACTGTTCCATGCCCTTCACGCTGGTGATGGAGAAGCTGTGTGACATGTGGCGTCGCCTGATTGAGTGTAGCTAAGTACACATTAGTCCAAAGCTTGTTGATTGTATAGAGGCGTTTCATCCGTACCTCTGTGGATCTCATGCCAAAGATATTTGGGGTCTTGGAGCCGAAGGCATCGTAGTACTCCGTCTTTGGCATCCGCTGGCCACCCTTCTGATACACCAGAGGGACGACCTCTTCGGCAGTGATGCTCAACTTGTCCGGTCCATATCTGACGAACTCACCGTACTTCTCGTGAAGCTCGGTCAAGTTGTACGGTTGCTTTAAAGACAGGAACTGATTGACCTGCCACAGATCCGTGACAGATGCCCAGAATGGGCCTGGATAGCCAGCTAAGGGGTGGAGGAATCTCTGATAGGCAACATAGATCACGGCGCTAGTTACCACGAGACCCAAAAGGAATCCTGAAAAGGTAATCTGAACATAGTCTGAATCAAGTATGGAGGATCTCATCTTGTACTCAGCGTGCCCAATCGTGATCTTGTAATTTGCGATGAAAATGATTGAAAACGGGTGTGAGGAAGTTGTGCTTATGATGTAGCTCCGGCCCCGCGTTGACGGAGGATAAATACCGTCCGAACCGCATCTGCCGAACTCTCCCCGCACCAATACTCCCGATCAATCCGAAACTCGCGGAGGGAGAGCACTCACTGAAAGCCTTACAATTGAGTGAGTCCAAAGTCGGGGTAGGTTGATGAGGGGAAGACAAGGATATTGCTTCAAAGATCGAGCATAGACCCATGCTTCGCTAGTTCTGGTCGACGGGTAAAGGAGGCGGCTTCTCCTTGCTAGCTGAGTATTGTCAACTAAAGCAGTGTTTGGTCTATACTAAATCCATCTGTAAGTTGAAACTACCTTATGAAAATTCCCAACACCATGCACGCTCATATCTGTCAGTAATGTGGTTGTCGTTGAGCAATACCCACATTTGACCAACATTGAACGTTAAGTTTAGCTAGCATTGAACAGCGTTTCGATCACGGGAGGAAAAGGATAAACTTCCCACCCCAAATCAAACCCGACAACTCAATGCGACTCGTTCCATCATACCACTGCATATTGACCTTGGGTTGAAAGTGAAGCTCTCAAAATTCCAAAAATGAAACCGACCTACGTAGGGATCGAACCTACAATCTTCACAGTATGACTAGGAAGCCGAAATGTGACGCGATGCCATTTCGCCAGCAGGCCTGGTCGATGGAATTTCGGCTGAAACGGACGCTCATATACCCCATCTAACCGACGAGCTTGGACCAGTCCAGTCCCTGGATCTCTGAAGACAGCTGCATGTAAGTGGGCTAGCGAGCAGTTGGGGCTTCATAGCTGTAACCTTGTCATGTAAGTTAGGTACGATGATGCAGCACCTCTAAAAGAAGAAAGAGACTAATCGTTGAGGCTGGCAATCTCCTTGGAGTATCGGCGAAGGAGCGAGATCTACACCGGCAGTGCGCATGCGGGTGTAAGACAAATCATGCGGACCGCTCCGTGTGCCGACGGACACCCGCTGACTGCCGCTTTTCGGTTGGTGCTGAAGCCTGCCGGCATGCCGTCGTCTCCGTTCCGCATCGCAGAACATGAGAATGGTATTTGTCTAAGTGCATCCGAGTCTAGCAATGTTATTTTCATAAGTAAAGTAAGCCCTGGGTATTCTTACATGTCTTAAAAAGTCTCCCGCTGTTCTCTTTACCTTGGCTCAGGCGTGTGTTTCTCCAACTCTCCAGATTCTAATCTCGTCAAATCACCACCACCATCTCTTTTCTAACTGCCACAATGACGAGCATCCGCAAGGTCATCATCTCGCAGTACGGCGACGTCGACGTGATCAAAGTAGTCACAGATGTCTGCCCTCCACCGTCCCCCGGCGAAATCCAAATCGCCACAGAATACTCAGGCTTCTCCGGCGCAGACGTCAACATGCGCAAGGGCATCTACCCCTTCATGAAGAAAGCGCCCCTCACACCAGGCTACTGCCTCGTCGGCACCGTCCGGGCTCTCGGCGAAGGCTCCAAGAACTTTCAAATAGGCGACGTCGTTGCCGTCCTGACCAAATACGACTCCGAGGCGGAGCTCGTCAACCAGCCGGAGAAGTACTGCATCCGCGTGCCCGACGGCGTGGATCACCGCCAGGCGACGGCGCTCATTTGCGACTGGAATACCGCGTACGGCATGGTGATGCACTCGGCGAGGGTGTCCAAGGGCCAGCGGGTGTTTGTGCACGGGATGAGCGGCGCGGTGGGGTTCGCGCTCATGAAGCTTGCGCAGCTGCAGGGGGCCACGGTCTACGGTACCGCAAGCCAGCGGAACCACATTGACGTTCGGCGCGAGGGCGGTATCCCGTTCGTATACAGCGACAAGAACTGGATGAAGGAGATGAACGCCCTGGGCGGCGCGCATGCCGTGTTTGACCCGCTTGGGTTTGAGAGCTTTGACGAGAGCTACTCCATTCTCGCGGAGGACGGCACGCTTGTTGGGTTCGGGAATAACAAGGCTTCGCTGAACGAGGGCGCGCCTCCTCGGAACCCGACGGGTGCGCTGTTGAAGCTGTTCGCGAGAAACTTGAACTTGTTGACCAAGAGGAGCACGACTTTCTACGCTTTGAACAGGGACTCTGCAACATATGTGCCTAATGTCACGGCGTTATTGGATATGTTGAGGACGGGGACGATTACCGTGCCAATCAAGTGTGTTTGGGACATGGAGGATATCCAGACTGCGCATCGGCAATGGGGTGGTGGAAGTGGTGTTGGATCTTTGTTGATCAAGGTAGCCAAGAACTAGGGTCTGGCAAGAGGTTATCAGGAGATCTTGTTTTTGTTCACGACTCGGAGTGTGTTTTTGATATTGGGGAGTTTGGGTAGAATCTACAGCCGTAGGTGCGTAAATGACCTCGTTCTTACAAAAATTGTGTCTACTTTTATCGGAGAGACCCGTAGAAGCAATTTGATGGGATGGATACTTCTGTACTATGAAAACCATCATGAAGCTTCTCAAAATGGAAATATTCGCCTACATTCGCAACCTTCCGTTGGGAGAAGGTTTCGGCGCACCCACGTAGTGCCCGGCCCTCCACTATCCGGATTTCGGCCCCGCCATCTTGGTTTACGTTCGACTGATGTCGCAATTCAAAACAGTCAAGATAGGCAAGATCCGATGGAGCCGGTGTTGGATTTATAATAGAAGTTCTGGTATTTGTAGAAGGCTCTTGAAGGGAAAAACTAAAGCGAACATTGAAGGTCTGAGATCATCATCTTCAAATGCACTGGTTCTCGGGAAGAACTTCCGAGGTCTGCCAGATTGCAGCCAATGTATTATGACATCCGCATAGCTTACTCTAATCCCCACGTTACGATGTCCAGGAACAAGGCTGCTTGGCTCACACGTGCAAAGACCTATCCACTCAAGGTCGACGATGCCCCATTCCCGACTGCCGGACCCGGTGAGGTTGTCATCAAAAACGTCGTGACTGCTCTGGTAAGCAATATGTCTCACTTACGTCTATTGCTACTCAGGATCTTTCTCTAACATCCTAGCAATAGAATCCTGCCGAATGGAAGATCCAGTAGGTAATCCGTAAGATTCAAATTAGGATAATGATACCTGACATGGCTCAGAGATATGGGCATCATTGTGCAGAATTATCCCACCATTCTTGGAGCAGACGTAGCAGGCTTCATCGAAGAGGTTGGCGACGGCGTGACGCATGTCAAGAGAGGACAGCGGGTCATAGGGTGCGCCATCATCCCCTGTCTATAAATGGGTTGCCCCCGGCGAGACTAACCTACCTAAATCATTTGTCTACTGTCAGTCAATCTTCACTAACACCATGGGTAGGTACTGTACCGGGCTAGGCAAGCAGAACCACGAATTTGGAACATTTCAGCTCTACAGTAAAGCAGACGCGAACCTCATATCACCCATCCCAGATGACATGAGCTTCGAAAGCGCCTCAGCCCTACCTCTCGCCATCGCAACAGCCGCGGTAGGACTCTACAAGAAGCAGCATCTCGGCCTACCCCTGCCATCTCTCAACACTCGCCGAACGGGCAAGACGATCCTCATATGGGGCGGCGCATCGTCCGTAGGAGGCACGGCAGTGCAGTTGGCCGTCGCATCAGGGCTCAGAGTCGTTACCACGGCTTCACAGCGCAGCTTTGACAAGGTATTGGAGCTGGGCGCCGAGGTGGTTCTGGATTACCACTCTGATACTCTTGTCCACGACGCGCTGAAGGCGTTGTCTGGGGCAGATCTTGTCGGCGTGTACGACGCGATCTCGGGCCCAGAGTCGTTGAGCCCCATTGGTGCTATCTTGGATCAAATTGGGCGACGCAGGGTCACTGTTGTGTTACCAACGGAGGGCGACTATGGGAAGAACGTGGAGATAAGCATGAGTAAGTTGGCTCCGAATGCCATGGTGAACGAATGCTGATCTTTTTGCAGTGACTGCCTATCAGATAACACAGGATCCAGAGGAAGTGCAGAATCCCGTGTGGAGAGACTTTGTCCCTGGTGCTCTTAGGAATGGCCAGCTGAAGCCGAAGCCGGACGCCGAGGTCGTTGGCAAGGGACTCGAGTCGATCCAAGCGGGACTTGATGTGTTGAAGAAGGGCGTATCTGCGAAGAAGTTGGTGATTCAGCTCTGAGACTACTCACATGCAAAAGTAGTTATTGGCCTGTTCTTGTTTTTCTTATCTGCATGAAGAGCTTTGGCGGCCACAAGCAGCTTCATGCAAGATGCAATTGAGTTGATCTCATCTTTCTCCCCTGAAACATGAAGGTTGGCACTAGTGCAAAGGCATGAAATTGTTCAGAGGAAAGAAACATGTATCCCTTTGAATTCCTGGTTTCACATGGGAATAAGCAACGCAGAAGATGAATCAGTTGTTGTTCCGATCTGCTTTTGTTGTGGATGAAAAGAGACCTTGATGACTTTCCTCATCGTGCTCACCTTGATTGCCGCCCTCGGTGAGGGTCAGGTGAACAGGTGTGTCAGATGGGAATAGCGACGGCGGGATTGGCTCGGTCGACGCCGATCTTGAAGACAAGCTATGAAAACAAGTGGAGACGGAGCGGAGGGACGGACTTCGGGGTGGGAGATGATCCATGTCATCAGTACATGGCACGTGCCTGCACCAGATGCAGCCAATTGTGGAGGGGGAGCCATGCGTGCTTGCCCCGCCATGGAGCCATTCCGCATGTCGCAGCTGCAGCAGGCAGGCAGCTCCCACTTTGGTGCTTTCCCATGCTGACAGTCAGGTTCCAAGTGCAGGCGCACTTTCTCCGAAGCAGCCGGCACACCGCACACCGTCAGACGATGACATACCACCGCAGTACGTACCGTGAACCCCTCCATCCTCCAGATTCGGCCCAAAACTAAGGCCAAGGCCGTGAGCTGGCTGCGCTCGGCCGATGCTGCAGACTCAAACCAGTTACCAGACCAGACCAGACAAGACACCGGACCATGTCTCTACCGCAACTCTGAGTCTGTACTGTGTAGATTCTTTCCCTGCTGTTCGTTGTGTTACCTCATGCCCTCCTCCACTTTGAGCAGGGTACATACTCCTTTGACGCCTCACCAAGCCTGTTCGAATAGCTTCAAAGGCAACACTCTGCCGACCATTTACCGCCTCATACCCTCGTACGCGACCTTACCTTGCTCGACCTAACTATCTGGCCATCCCTACCCCTACCTAACTCTGCTGGCCGAACCACAGCTTGACACCTTCAACCGCGATGACGCCGTATGCATAGCAGCTTCAAACTCCTACAAGGCACCCAAGCTCACCTAAACCGTCCTACGAACATCGACACTCCTACCCTCGACTTCCTTTTCTTCCAGCCTACATGCTGACGAACTTCGAACCTTTCTCCGTTGCCCTGCCCTCTCGGTGGCACTGATCGACCGTCTCCTCCCCCGACCCTCCGACCCCGCCGCGCCAGGCATCACCCTGGCTGTCGACTGTCCAGCTGCTCGTCTCACATGCTAGGTCGCACGCGACGTCACGGCCAACTCTTTCACCACCGCGCAACGAAGGTCTCCTCCCTTAGAAGCCCTGAAGTGATATCCCATACGTTTCGGGTGGTTTCCATCCTTCCAACGCCATCCTCATGCCTCTTGAATCTCCCCTTCGAGGCTACGACCGAACGAATAATCCCATAACCGCCATCATGGCGACCGACGTCCACAAAACCGATGCGAAAGGCGATGCGAAGAGCGATATCAAGGTTCCTGCGCCAGCTTCCAACGCGGGCTTGGTCAGAAAACCAAGCGATCCTCATCCGGCTGGTCGCGTCAAACACAGCCTAGTAGTGCAGGTCCTTCGGGGCTTCTCGTTCGGCGTTTACTTTGCTGCTTGTTGCCTTGCGTACGTTCCCCACAGAGCTGCTTGGTCAACCTTTGCGACAGCGTTTTTCTAACATGTTTCGCGCGCAGCATCATCACGACCCAAATCTTGGGCGTTCCACTATACTGGGCGAATCGCGACATGTTCTACTCCTACATGGCGCTCACAAAGCAGTCCTTTGGCCTGACTATCACCGCCATGACCCATATTTGGAGCAGTACTACCATCAGAATAAGCGGCGATGCGTCGATGAACGGGCAGATCCAGAAGACGGCGGACGGAAGGGTCCAGTTCAACTTTCCAGAGCGTGTGGTGCTCATCGCGAACCATCAGGTACGATGCACCTTGTCTTTACCACAGTTGCGATGTGGAATATGGGGATACTGACGGTGCTGGTTAGATCTACACCGATTGGCTCTACCTATGGTGGGTGGCCTACGCGAACTCTCCGAGCATGCATGGCCACATCTACATCATTCTCAAGGAATCTCTCAAGTACATCCCCGGAGTTGGCGCCGGCATGATGTTCTACGGCTTCATCTTCATGTCGCGCAAGATGTCGACCGACCAGCCGCGACTCGCGCACCGACTTCAGAAGCTGAAGAAGCAACATGTTGGCGCCAACGGGAACAAGTATCTCGATCCCATGTGGCTCTTACTCTTCCCCGAGGGTACGAACTTGTCCACCAACGGTCGCAGGAAATCGGCGGCTTGGGCCAAGAAGAACGACCTTAAGGATCCCGAACACGTCCTGCTGCCCCGGAGCACAGGCACGTTCTTCTGCTTGAACGAGCTGAAAGGTTCGCTCGACTACGTTTACGACTGCACAGTCGCGTACGAAGGAGTTCCGTAAGTGAAGGCTTCTCCACGCATTCGTTTGCAACATTTTACGCGACACGTACTGACAGCATTCCAGCCGTGGCAAGTTCGGCGACCAGTTCTTCACTCTCACTAGCACCTACTTCCAAGGTCGCCCCCCCAAGTCGGTCAACTTCCACTGGCGTCGCTTCCGCCTCGCCGATATCCCTCTGGACGACGCCAAAGTTTTTGACACTTGGCTGCGCGAGCGGTGGTACGAGAAGGACGCCATCATGGAAGAGTACCTGTCCACGGGACGCTTCCCTGCGAGCCAGGACCTCAAGGGTGGCTTCGTCGAGACGGAGGTCCGCTTGAAGAGCTGGATCGAACTCGGACAGATCTTTGTCGTGCTCGGCATTGCCGGCCTCGTTTTGCGCATTGTCGCCAACTCTATCACTAGATTCGCTTCGGTTCTCTAGAGCAGAGGAGCATAGCTGCCTCAAAAGACCCGAAGAATCAGTCCGTGTTTGGGGCTATCTTCTGTTCATTGGCGATTGGTTACAGGTACATGAGCTGCGGCAAGGTTATCATCAGAAAGGCTGTGACTTACGGTAGCGATTGAACTTTGGGGCATGGGAGCTTCGGCTTGAGTTTGACGGCGTCCTTGGAGTATCCGGCGTTGAGCTCTTCAGATTCCTTCTTTGATACGAGATACAAGCTACAGTGCATCATCTCCATCAGCCTTTACCCTCATTGTGATCGTTGTCCCTTTCCATCCACATCTTTTGGTAAACTCGAAAGACTGATGCTGGAGGGCGGATTTGCGCTGGGGCAGATATCTTAGCTTTTGGTTAGTACGTGTTTAGGTCTGCTTGGTCCTTTGCTTTACTGAAGTGGTGCGATAGGCCATGTCGGTCGCCATACTCATAGCGCTACGCGGCACCTTCATGCCCGATCTACGACGTACCCCTCCAATATGTACGATGGGAGCAGTTATCTTGGCATCTTTCGCCGTAAAAAGTCGATGAGGCGGAGTCTTGTGCTTGGGTCGGTCTGACAACAAATATGAGAACTATTTGTTGATAATTTGCGGTGGGTTTGAGAAGCTCGAGATGTCCACCAGCCTTAAGGGACTCGTGGGTACGGAGAGGCTCCCTCTTGAAGCTGGGCTAGGCGCGCTCGGTCTATCATAATAGGGTCTTGTTCAGTTGGATTCAAGGTACCATGAGACGAACATCATGTATCGGACGGTGACGGCCTTCTTGTGCATGTGATATGGGTGGCACACGAGGATGATGAGGTAGGCGGTTGGAAACCTACGTTTGGATATTAGGCCGTTGATCTCTTTCAATACACCCTAGGCAGAATACATAGTACTAGATGATCAGACTTTTCAATGACTGTTGGGGAAGAGTGTCTGAGCGCGAGGCAATGCGTCTCTCTAGGTATCTGGTAAGTTCATAATGAAGCCGTGCTATCGGTCGGGAATTTCGAGGCTGATGGACTGGAGGGCTGTAACCTGCTGGTGAATGCTATTTCAGACGGAACCAAGGCCGTTCCGGCGTACCCATGCCTCTAGCAGTCAAGTTAATAGTCCGAATGTTACCTCGCTCAGTGAAAGGTGCGGTCTGTAGCTTGAAGTAGTGGAAGCTGTAAAGGGGGCCTCATTAGGCCTGCCTGCACATCACTCACTTGTAAAGAGCTGGCCTGTTCCGTGGGCAGTGATGGCAATGCCTTCCCGTCGGGCTAAAGAGAACAATGCCATGTTGCTCACGAATGATACCTGTCAAACATCCTGATCTTCAGCTTGGTTATACAGAAGTAGCTAGGCCCTACCCAAGTGACCTTTCCTAAGTACTGCTCAAGTTACATGGGCCTCTTATTTCACGAAGTCGCTGGTCGAGGTACACTCAAAGAAGTTTCTGGAGGACACCATGCCAGCGAATACTTTAACGAGTACACCTACGAGCTTTCATTTGCTGAGTCTCAATAGCTTGGCAGCTGATCAATGATCTGTGATGATTATGGGTGATAGATTCGTTGAGATGACGGCCCAACAAGTGTCAGGGGTCTCGATGCTACCTAGGCTCCATGGAGGGACTTGAGGCATAAGCCTGATGGCCTACTGACTGCGGCTGTTAACCATGCCGCTTGGACACTGAGTCCTTGATAATGGGTCAATTTTTGCGGAGGGAAGTGCATACTTTACTGAAGTCTCACGCCCACACCGTCCCGCGTCGGCATGTGGGCAACGGCGGCAAGACGCACCCTGGCCTGAATGGAAGCCTCTTCCAACACCAACCTGGTGGTATTCACGGACCTTGTCCGTGAATACAACAATTCTCCGACTCACACTTCGGGTGCCCTTACATGTAAATACATCTTCTGGGGACTTGCAGGCTGGACCTCACAGTACCTGGTTGCCTCAGACCAAACACACAATAGCAGGCTGGGCTCTTGGTTTCAGTTGGCAGGCCTACGCTGCCCACTCAGCAGGTCAGACCTTCGCAGGAAGCCCAAGGTGACCACGATACGTCCAGCCTGAGTATGGACGCACATCAAATATGACGCTCCCGTGCCGTCAAAGTCGGTCTGCCCCCGTGGGCGGTAATGAAAGGGCTGCATGACTCGACTTTCTCGGTGAGATCTTGCCGATCTGGGAAGTATTTTAACGAAACCTGTGGGTTTTTGACATGGGGCAACTACCGAGAGGGACTTTGAGTCTGAATGGAGATAGCAGATCATAGACTGGTGGGGAAGCCGGACATGAGCCGTCACTCTTGATGCGGACAGTGGATGGATGTGGCTGGAGGCACGTGGACTTGATCAGGAATTGTAAGGTGATTTGCTACTTTCACGGCAGGCAATTGAAGTCATTATGGTTTCCGTATCATTTGCACTGTTGATTCGCAGCATTTCCCCAAAAATGATGTTGTCAATCACTCTAGTCCACTTCCTGTTTCCTACGCTGTAAAGTATAGTCCCCCGTCCTCAAGGAACCCTACGACTTGAGGTAGTTCGAACATCACGCGAGGCCTTTGTCCTGATACCTCTTGCCAGCCTCTTCCTGTCCGTCATATTTCATCATTCCTTGCCTGTCTCTCGTGTTGCATCGTTTTGTGAACTGAGGGGAGATGACTGAGAATTCGCCCGTCTTGGCCGAGGACCGCCGCTGTGTTGGGCCGTCTTCAGTCTTTTGTACTCGGCGACTATTCTGATGAAAGTTTGCTGCGGTATTGAAATGTCCTCTTCTAGTTCGATGACGATATTTTGGCCGTCTTGAAACATGTACACCCCTGGCCGTTCGCGAAGCTCCTGTTTGACTGCTGGGTATAGGCGGCTTAGCGCATTCTCCTCGTCTTCGGTCAGTCTTCGATACTCGCGTTGAGTGTTGCTCATGTTTCTGTGATTCCGTGATTGGACGAAGGACGGTTGTTCTGGAGTTGAGATCGAAGTGGCGGGCTGTTTTGGGAAATGGCATTTGCATCCACCGAAATGCCGTGTACTTTCGGCTTCATTTATTCATTTCCTGGCCCTGAATTGAAGATCTCCCTCATGATAGATGGTAGCTTATTGCGATGTTCTCGCGAGTCAACTTGCGAACGGGCACTTTTCAGCTCTCGAGCAATGTTGAAGATTGCAAATAAGCAACATTCCTCGTTCAGCGAATGCCAGTGAAGGATGCGAGTTCAGACAAAACCGGTGAACAAGCGTCAGAACTTACGGTCAATCCGCCGGGCGATGCTGGTTCGAGACCCTGTCAGTGGCTTGCAAGGGCGGCCAGCCATCCCATGCTTCTGAGGCGCTCCGGGGCACGGCCAGTTGGGCAGAATTAATACCCGCCCAACAGGGCGTCCACGAGACCCTTGCTAGGGTAATTCCTGGATGTTAAAGTGCTTCGATTGGCAACCGGTGGGAGAAGAATGATCTTCGTGGCGCGCATCTCGGTGAGCTCCCTGGCCTACTCGTGTTTCTATCCATGCCTGTCATTTGTCCCACGGCCTATGCTCATGTCTATCCAACGCGGATTGATACCTCGTGATAACAGGATTGACTTGTTATATCCGGTGGCGAACCTTACCGATTCATGATACTTCCGACTTCAAGTTGTCTCGTGTCATGTTGCTGGGGATCTGGTGCTACTTCAGCCTTCGCCCTATCCAGGGATTCAGGCATGGATCGAGATCCAGCTGCTTACACGCAGGTAGGCTACGAGAGTCCGTAATGCTTCTAGTGAATCCTCCAATCGGGGCAAACTTTTACGGCTGGGTTCGAAGTTTCTAGTGAATTTCTATCGTAGTATTCACAAACCTCCAGCTGAGCCATCCCTATTGCCGGTCTTCATCCGTACATGTCGTTGCCGTACACCACGATGGAACGTTCCAGTCTGGAAATTCGTCGGCAACTTCCCGTATTGCAGCCCCAATCAGCGCCTGAAGGTCTCTGCAATAATTCTCAGTCTCTCGAAACACGGACACAGCTTTACTGCGCACAAACACAATTCCCTTCAGCCCCGGCATACGCCGTGGAAGTTGACGAATGGTACGCGTAACCAGGTCAGAGACGAAGCCCCTGTCGAGTCCGTTTCCGAAAACGGAATCGTCGATGGCCAAGTAGCGGACGTCCATCAGGTCTGACGCATCGCACAAAGACATGGCTGTAAAGTACTGTGCGGATGCCGCCATGAAACCTTTTAGTGGACCAAAGTGTAAGACGTCGACTTCGGGGTTGAAGTAAATCTTTGGTACTCCAGCTATTCCGAACTTCAAGTTACCATAGAATCGTATGGCTTCTTGTCTTGATTCGCGGCAAGCGTGTAAGATGGCCGGGACTTTTGCTGGAGAAGTTCCCCAGGTTGAATGGGATGTGTCGCATCGAATCGAAACTGTTCGGGTGTTTGGTAAGCTTAAGAGCCATATTCTCATTCGAAGCTTGGTCGGCAGCCTGGGGAATGGATGCTTCATGTTGTAAGTTAGTGAGTCCCAAGATCCCAAAGGTCGTGTGGTGCGCAAAGTGTGTACTTGACTTACAAACACCATATCTGCCACACTGTGATGATCTTCGGCCATGTCTGTTGATGTAAGTTGTGTAATACCGAGAGGAGTCATGTTACTCATGTGGAATGCAAGTAATGGAGGGCACGCTCATCATGGCCAAGAGTTGGAATGCTGTCATGTATTACAGACATCTTCAATGCACACGTTACCGCGATATTAGGTATTGATCCTCGCAAATCTGTTGATGTTTTATCTCATCTTGAGAGACACCTTTAGCTCAAGCTTGAGTCGTGTGATCGCAGCCCTACGGCGAGCTGAGTCTGTCTTGCGAAGGGATTACGAGCTTCGTCGATAACACGGCTCGGTAGCTGTTCCAGGAATATTGAATCTTGATTTGCCTGTCAAGCTGAAGCTAACATCGAGATGAAATACAAGAAAAAGAAAGGAGAAACGATAATCAGTTTCTGAGAGGACCAGTTACAGAAACAACTAGGCAAATCACCGTTCTGTGCCGCCATGTCAAATTCACCGGTAGGAGATGACTTGCAGTTTCCCCCCAACCAACGGTCTCTTGACCGTAACTACAATCATAAATCATATTGCACTTCATGCGAAGTCGCTTACTCGGAGCCACGATTGGGCTGCGATGAGGCACTTATCCTTGATCGTCTCTAGGGCCCTTGATTTTGGACGGTTGGTATCACCGTATTACAATAGCAGCCAACTTGGCTGAACGGATCTGACTTCGAATCCAAGTCAGAGAAGAGGCCTCATAATACCAACGACAGAAACAGACACGCAGTCTGACATGCCATTGGGCAGCGTGACCGGGGTCAGTCGGACCCGCACTTTTGCGCTCAGGCAAAAGTAGCAAATAGCAAACCGACATTTCTTCGGGTCTGTCCAAATCAAGACGGCGGCAGAACGGCAGAGAAGTTACAGGGACATTAAGTGATAATCGCCCCATTTCTGTCACCTGTCAGAATATAAGCCGTAACGGGCTGAACTCTACGTAGCACCACGTACATGGGTCCATCTTGTGGCGTTGAATCGGTGAGCTAGAACCCTCTATCCTGGGCATTAGATTGGAAGGCATCTTCGGGTCCCGAGCGCCTGGTCAAAGGATCCATGGACGATCTGCCTAGCTTGGGCTTACAAACCTTGATTTTAGCCCTCGAGCAGAAATCCGTGGATTTTGCCCGGTGATTAAGGAGGGCGCTGTCGGAAATGGCGTGATTTTTCTCATGTGGGAATGGTTGGTTTCAAATCAGCCCGGCGGGTGAAATTATTAGGAGCTCTACATATGCCTGAACGCCGACTCCAACGATCGGGTTCTTGAAAAAAAGGGAAAACAACACTATTAGGCACGAGGTGGCTGGCTAAAGAACCCCTAAATTATTGAAACGATTCAGAGTAGTGCCAGCCACACCGTCACAAAACGTCATTTCTTGGGCAATGTCAGCCCACAGTCTGGTCTACTACATCTATTTCAAATTATCTATTGATTGGCAGTGCTCCCTGTGTGTATGGCCTCAGGTAGGCTTGGGAGAAAGGTCGAAAGAACAATTGCAGCAACTCGAGAAGTTTGAGGGATGGACACAACATCGGAGAAGCATCCCTCGTCGCCTCAGAATGATTTCGGTACTTACTTGCCTTACTTAGAGGAGCAAGTCGCGTACCAAGTTTCGTGAAGTTTAGGCTCGCCATATCGTCTACATCCGACAGATTCCGACGTAACCGGCTTATGCTATCAAATGATGCGTATCATGGTGGATGTAGCTTGACGGGAAATTTTCGTCACGAGTCGTGCACAGGTCCACCACCTCTTGACGGATATGTAGTCGGATTCAACGGATAACAGATTAAGGTACTGGGCAATTCTTAAGAGCACATAACATAGAGAAATCTCCCTCTGCCGCTTCCAACATTACCAAGACTGACGGAACTCATTTGCACATCGGCTGACTTGAAGTCAAATTCGGACCAAATTCCGCTGCGAGTCCAGGGCACGTGGGACACGAGGGGCTGGCAGGTTGGCCTACATTTCTCCACAGGCGGAACGTGGGTTAGGATTGGAGATAGCACCCCCAGTCTCTTCTCAAAGGTTTGACTTGCCCAACGTGGCAAACCTTTCAGAAATATTCCACAAGTAGAAACAGGCGTGAGCTTGGCGTGACTGCTACGGTGTTCACGCCCAAGGGGTTCAGACTTACGACCCCAGCAGCACCAGGCAGTAAGCCCGTACCGATTATCCCTCAAACATCTGTACGCTCAGGGAATTATCCTCGCCAAGAAGACCTGGATCAAAGCCCGAGCATGTTCCCGTTCAAGTGCAGAGTATTGAAGATCAGAGAACGAGCTGGGACACGCGTACCACTTGCTAGATCCAACTCGAGCCTTGCTTTGCCTGATATTCTCATGAGTAGAGACAGCGCAGTCCGCCATGGATGGGTATGACTCTCGCGCCAGTCCAGTCGGGGACCATCGCGGCCGATTGGACTTCAGTTCCAGCCCAACTCCTGGGCTTGACCTGTTGATCAGCGCCTCTTCTTCCGGTCCCGTCGTCATAGAAAAGTTATAAATGAAATAACTGTCGCTCTACGATTCTTTCGACATAATACGCAATTCACCACTTTCCTACTGCGGCTTCACGCATATGAGCCTAGCATGGTTGAACAACTCGCAACCGGAAAGAAGCCCGGGAGCCACTTTGTTCATGTCCACATCAAGGAACAAGTATGGCGTGTCTCGTAGAAGTCGCAGATAAAGAATGATGCCAATGTCACGAAAAGCTACGAGGATATAAGCCATACCGGCTCCGATCATCCTCGCCAATGAGGGCAAAGCCATCTAGAAATCGTTACTAATCATATTGACCGAACTTTCGAAGCTCAAACAAGAAGTCTGCACGATTTAACAACGCGCCACACCGACTTTACACATCCGCCATGGATCGCTATCCGTGTATCAACAGATACAAGTACACCGTCAACTGCGCATCTTGGGTCTGGGTATATCGTACTCGTTGCGAAAACTGCGTTCTGGTAAGCAATCACTTCCAGACAGCGAGGTATTATGGAAAAAGTCTTGACATCGAGTAGTACGATCTTTAAGAACATCGGACCCCAGGATTTGGTCATGGGGAAAAAAGCCATATCCGGAACAGGCGGTAGCAAAGTTCACCACGGAATCATACGCGCTGGTTAGGTGATTGAAATGCCCAACACTACAGACATTAAACCATGATATCAAATAAAAAATCCTGTATCTACGTACGGACGAACCTTGTGTAACTTGTAGCGGAGTCTTGGGCATACAAGTAAGCAATGAGCGCTTTCAAGGAGCTAAGGAGCTATGCGTACGCAAGAACCAAGGCACGACTTGACCATTCTCCACTGCTGCCTTGCTGCCGCCGCCGATCCGTCTTAAAACGAGTCCTTGCCGTGGAGCCGATGAGATACTCGATGCAGCATGGCGCATTAGTCAGTACCTTCAGTCAAGGCTAGACGTTTTTTGCCAGCCTCAAGATGAACTTCCACCGGGCCAGACCCTCCGGCAGAGCGTTCAGGAGCAAGGTTATACGCTTACACCGCTCAGGTAGCCCGTGGAGAAGGCTCAGAGCGAGGTTGAAAACCTTGACAAAGGGGGCCTTACAAGGGGTAAGCAAGCGCACCGCATGGATGTAACGTAGCCATGTGGGTTAGGCCCAGCCGAGCCGTCTCCGTCCCCTGTCTCCATGTCTTGTGATGATTGCTCAACGCTTTGGCTCACTACAAGAAGTTCTGTATGTCGATGCTTCTCAACAAGTTCGACTACAGCCTGATCAACGCGCCAAAGCCTTGTAATTCGTCATTGCCTGCGATCGGCACTATTGTTCGTAACTCGGGTTCGGAACGACCGTGGATTCGAGGGTTATGCCCTCTTTGGGAAGACCAAAGGGGTGTCCGAAAGCTCATCTTCTGGAAATGAAGACATGCGGAACCTGCAAGATGCCGGTCTGAATGTGCATCTTCCACCCAAGATACGAGTGGTTTGCTACCAAATAATTTGAGGGAATGTCCGTTCGCGACGTACGACTACAGCCGACACACCACAGTCGACAAGCTATAACATACTCATTGTAGTTATCCCCATACGTAACGACCGTCAAAAATCGTTCACTGCACATGCAAGAACTCTCAGCGGCTGATATCAGTCTCCTGAAACTGTCAAACAGTCGACAAAGCGGGCTTGGAACCTGTGCCTCTTGCCCTTCTGACTGGCCCCTAGTGAAGATGAGTAAGTAGCGATCATGTGTTACCCAGCCTTTTCGTAATGCTTTTGCTGGAATTTGGAATTTCTCACTTCACAGCTACTGCTTCAAGGACTATGTCCTGGCAAGATTCCCAAGTCTTTGTCAGAGAAAGGCCTAGCATTTGACCTCAACAGGTATTTACACACCGTGTCTTCATGCCGAACCCCGTATGTGAACACCCGCTTCCTTCAAGCCTTCAACACACCATTATAAAGAAACACGATCCTTGCTCGTATGCACAATCAAGCGACATTTTACCACACAAATCTCTCTCTCGTCCACACCCTTTGTCCGTCTCATATCACGTCTTCTGGGACCAAGGCCACATCGTCCTTCCTCATGGACATACACCTTGTCGTAGGCATATTACACGCCTCATTCAGGTGGGCTTCTTTCTTCTGAGTGAGCTCAAAAGAGCTAGATGAAGTGTCCTCTATGATAACGATCTAGTTGGTTGTGACAACACACTCTATTTACGGACATCTCGAACGCCATATTAGTCTAGGTACCTTACCGAGGGCGTATAAGGGAATATATTAATTATAAATATTAATATAATCGCGCAACCCTATACTACTATTACTAAATAAGATACTATTACTTATTCTATAATAATAATAATATATATAATAATTATATATACGGTAATAGTTATTTAAAAATAGCTAAGAGTTTTAAGAGTTATAAATAGGGTATTAGAGGACCGTACCGGGGGGTAATCCCGGGGCTTAGGATATACGGATATTAATATATTTAAATAAATATATTAATATATTACTACTTATATATATTATAATATTACTATAAATGCGCGAATATTGCGGCTATTTATACTTCTAACTAAAATCCTTAAAGTTAAACCTCTAAGTCCCGAATTTAGACGCTATTATATAATTAGATCCCTAACTCTAATACTATATCCCTATTAAATTTAAAAAAATAAGTAGTCTAGTGGGCGAGATAATATAAATATATAATCTAGATCTATTAGTATTAAAAAAATAAAGCCGCTCGTAATAGTTAACTTACTTTATTATTTAGAAATCGTAGTATTAAAGTACTATTACTACTACTACTCGTAAAGTTCTTTAGTATTAGGTAAGTAAGCTATTTAGCCTCTCGCAATTATAAGTATTAGAAGTAAATAGTCTTACCTACTTAATATTCGGACGTATAAAGTAAGTAAAGGTATAATACCGATACTTATAATATAAATATGTTAGTATATACGTACCTTAGTCGGGCTAATAGTATAGGGTCGGGCTAATAGTGGGGATATACTTATATAGTATTAAGTTAAGTATATTATAGCTATTTAACTTACTACTTAACCTAGATACTATAATTACGGATTTTAATAAAATATAGCTTTTTAAGCTAAATAGTATTAATACTAATAATAGTAAGTTACTTAAAGTAGCGCACTTTATATAAGTTAAGTATATAGTCCTTATTATCTAAGATCTTTATTAACGTAATAATAATAAAGATATAGTATAAGTTATATATTTTATAGACGAAGATATAATCGATACGGCTTATTATAAACTACTTATTATTATTTATATACTTAACGTAGTTATTATAAGTAAAGATATATTAACGAAAATTATTAAAGTAATAGAATGTTAATAATTCTTTTTATTATAAATATAAAGCTATTGCGAATACTACTTATATAGTTAATAAGTAATAGGGCGGCGATATTATAATAATACTAAATATTTTACGAATTTATAAAAGACCTAGGGGTATATTAAGAGTACTTTAAAAACCTTAATATTATAATAAAAATAACTTAAAATTATAACCTGTATTATAGTAGTAATTTTCCTAGATTTTATACTTCGTATATTTTAATAATACGTAATTACGCGGTACTTAAAGCTTTTTTTTTTAGTTAAGGGCGACGTTATAAAATAATATTCGATATTTAATTAATAAAATCACTTAATTCTATTAATTAAGAGATAAAAAAGTTATTTTGGGCCCCTTAATAGATATTAATAACCCCTCTTTAGGCCCTAAATATTAATAGCCTTATCTCGCGGGCCTTATTAAGGCCCTTAAGATGCCTCGAATCGCTAGGTATAAAACTTAATTAAGTAAACATAGTAAATATAGTAAATAATAGAAGTAAATATAGTAAATACTAATACTTACCTATTTATAAAGCCAAAGTAGTTCGATTATTAAATAGCTTTATATTTAAAGTTTTAGATTTTATTATAACTATAATAGCGTACGTAAGCCGAGCGTAGGGCTTATTTAAAGGTTTATAATATATTTATATCCTTAGTAAATAAAAGCTTGCCTTCGTTAATTAAGTATTATAATTTATTAATTTAACTAATAATAATAATATTATAGTACTCTCTATCTCCCTTAATAATACTTATTAGCTCTTTTTTTTTAATAAGATCTTTTTATAAATATACTATATCCTTTTTATTAATACGAAGTAGTACCTTATTAAATAATATCGGAGCCTTATTATAGAGCTAGTATATTTAATAAATAAGCTTATTATTATTATAATAAAAAGTATTATAAAAAAAGAAGCGCTACGTTATTTATATATTAACTTTTAATAATAGGATCTTTTTAATATTAGTATAGTTCGTTTAGGTTATTATTATTTTAAACTATTTATATAATTATTAATAATAAATATATTATAAAGTAATAGATATTAAGGGATATTATTATACCCCTCACTTACTTATACTTATTCTTATTTAATAATATATTTATATTTATAAATATTTTAAACTCCTTAATAATAGCCTCGTAATAAATACCTATATAAATATTTAGCTATACCGTATTTAATATATACCCTTTAGCTCTCTTATTAAGTAATATAAGTTACTTAGGTTTAGGCTTATTTTTTATTATAAGGATAAGTAGCGGCTAGGTTAATTATTATTTTATATATTAAGAAATATTATATAAAACGGGCTCGGTAAATAGCTATATATATTCTAATCCTAACCTAACTTATAGTTAATAAAAGGGCTATTATAGTAGTATTATCGAGCCTTAGTAACTATTATTAATAACGCTCTATACTCAGAGGTTATTAATAATAGCCTAGTTAGTAATTTAATAGAGCTATTAATATATTTTATAAGCCTTAATAATAATACTTGTTATATTCTTACGATCGGCTTTATTAATATTAATACTAACTAGGATACTATTCGACTTAGCTAATTTTATATAGGCCGTTATAATAAAATTAACGATATTATTATTAATAATATTACTAAGCTAGCTTTATATAGTATTTATAAATTTAAAATGAATATAATACGGGATTAGAAAGCTACGAAATAAGCCTAGAGTAATAACTAACTATTAAATATTTATTACTAAGAAATAACTATAAAAATAATAAAGTAGTAATTATAGGCGCTCCTAATTTAGTAAAAAGGGCTAAATACGTAGTATATAAATATACTTTTTATATCCTTATATAATAAAAATATTATTAAATAATATACTATATATTAGCTCGGTAAGGCCTTAATATTTAGAATAAGCGGGATTTAGAGGGTATAAAAGAATTAAGTTTAATATAAGGGTAATAGACGTTAGTATAAGTATTTTTTTTATAATACCTTACGCTTTTTTATATTACTTATAAGAGGCTACTATTATAAGATTATTTATATTCTTATATATAATCGTATATTAATAATAATAGCGCCCGTAAGTAACTATATTAAAATTTAGTACTAACTTTAAGTTATTACTATTTTTTTATAAATTATTAATAAAATAAAAGTAATAAAACTTAGTTGCTCGAGTATTTTAAAATTTATTATTCTTATTTTATTATAGTATATCCCTAATACAATAAAGAATTAGTGCGATTATAATATAGTATTTATTATTAATATACGATTTAATATTATAATCGAGCTTAGTTAGGGACTAGAATACTTTAATAGTATTATTAAAGTTCGAACTATATAAACTAAGTATAAGAGGGAAAATATTAGCTTAACGGAGTCGATTTTTTATTTAAAACTTAGTAATTATTATATATATACTTATAAAAGTATAATAAGAGTTATAGTATATACTAAAGCTATTAATAAAATATATAATTAGATAGTTATAGATCTTTATATTAAACTTATTTTAATTTTTGAATATTTCTTAACTATACGTTTTAAGCTCTAACTTTATATAAATAAGGTAAGTATATATTAAGGGAATTAAATCCTTAGATATATAGCGCTATACTTATTAAATAATAAGTTTATAGTTATTTAGTACTAGGTACTTAATAAACTTTTTAAACTTTTATTTTTATTTAGTATCGAGGCTTAGATCGATTATAGTTTTATTAAAAAAGTAGTTATATACTATATTATTATTAATAACGTTAGCTATATTCTCTTCGGGGATAAAAGTAACCTTATTTATAATAATTATCTTATTTTTATTTTAGGTATAACCTTTATTATTATAAAAGGGATACTTCGGGATTATTTTTAAGTATTGATTATTAATATAAAAAAAGATTTCTTAGATTTAAATTATAATATTACCCTTTTTATTAATATAGAAGTTACTTTAATAATTATAGCTAACGATATAGACGTAATTATAATATAGCTTTTCTCTATCTATTTAGTTAGCTTTTTAGTAAATATAGAAGGGGTCGAGGTATTAATATATAATAAAGTTTAATAGTAAGATTATATTAGTCTTTTTATTTTTATTATTAATAATATATACAAACTTACTAAACGTTATACGTACTAATAATACTTAGCTATATAATTTAAAAAGCTTAATAAGTATATTAATAAAATATATTAATTTTTAATATATATTATTAGTTACGTTAAATAATAGAAAGTTAGTAAATATTATCTAAGGGTTAATAATAAATAGGTTTAATATAATACCCCTTTTTATAATTTCTTATTTATTTAACTTATAGGATACTCGTGCCGTAAAGAGCTTTTCAAGTATTAATAATACCTCTACTTTTTATATAAGGATTAAAAAGAATTTTTAAAAGATATGGTTCTTTAAGGATATTAATTATATAAGGAGCTTTTTAATAGCCTACTTAGTAATACTTTTAATATTAAAAAAAATAGAAAGAAGTTAGTAAAGGGCGGTATACTTTATATAATTATTATTAAAAGTATAGAAAAAAAGGCTAAGCCCGAGCTCGAAGTTTAATAGCTAAATAAACTTATTTTAGTAATAAGGGATTAATTTTAAAATATTATCGTTAGGCTTTTAAAACCCTTATATTATATACTTTTTTAGAAGCGGGCTAGTATAGATAATAATATAGTCCTTTATTATAAGAAAGAAAGTATTATTCTCATCGTTAGTTTTATTAAAGGGCTAGGTATTTAGGTTATTAGTATTATCTTTTTTAAAGATACGATTATTATATACCTTAGTAATATTAGCTTCTTTTTTATTAAATTTAGTTAGTAGATCGCCGTTAGCCCTAGTTTTATTAACTTTATTAGGGTTAATATTATTAAGATTAATTATACTACTTATATTATAGTTAGTTATATTTTAATTATTTTTATTAAGACCTATAGTTTATTTATAGTATATATAGAATTTATGTTAGATATATTACCCTTATCCTCTATATTATTTATAATATTATTTATCTTAGCGTTTATTTAGTAACTAATATCGGCTTCTATTCTTATATTAATATTATTATCGTTATTTTATAATTAAGAAACTAGTTAGTTAATACCTAATTAAGATACTTAGTTAGTACTAAGTTAAGGCGCCCTTTAGTAATAACTTAGGGTAATATCGTTTATAAGCGTATTAATAAGAAGCTTTTTATATTTACTTATTATTATAATAGGTAGAGGTGTTATATATATTTATATTATTTTTTTAATAATAATTTAACGCGTTTAGATTACGAGATATTTGTTATAAGTATTAAAAAGGTAGAGGTTAAGAGATTAAGTAGTAGTAAGTAGTTAATTAGTAGAGGAAGGAGGCTGTAGAAGTGGGGTTACGTAACTCTTACCGAGCTAACCGGGCCCTTACTAAGCCGGTATACCTCTATTATTAGGCATATATTTATATCTTTATTATTAATTTACCTACTTATTACTACCTAGGCTCTTTATTAATCTTTTTTTTTAATTACCTAAATCTCGCGTTTATACGTACTTTTTAGAGTAAAAAAAATTAACTTATCTAGCCCTCTATCCGCGCTTCTAAACCTTTTTTTTTTTTTATACTTATAATTATAAGTTAGTTTATTATATTAATATAAATAGCCTACTTACTTTTTATTACTTAACCCGCTTATTACGTTTTATATATCCTTACTTACTTACGATATACTATTTATTATATTATTATAATTAATTACTATACTTCTCTATAGTCGAACTAAAAGAGGTAGTAGAGGAAGTAATAAGCGTAAAAAAACGCATTGCTTAACTAGAGCTTAGTTTTAGGCTAAGTAGGACGAGTCCCTCTTTATTAAGTAGTAGTAATAACTATATAATAAGGAGCTTAAGTAAGAAGAGCCCGAGCTTAAGCCCGAGGCTATATAAATTAACCCTACTCTATTACTTCCCCTAGAGACCCCTTTTACTCGTTAAGTAAATATTATAATTACTTTTCCTATTTATTTTAATATTATCTAACTAACCTATTTTATTAAAATACTTTAATTACTAAGGTTATTAATTATAATTAGTATATCGTTACCTTAGTTATTAATAACCCCGGCTTTTTTTTTAAGACCTATTATATTAATAATATTGCTCTTAAGAATACTCCGGACTAGCGCCTTATTATCGATAATAATAGTACCTTTACCTTTTTTAATAATAATACTCCCCCTAAGAAAACTAAAAAGGGTAAGAAGGCTATTATTAAAAAGGTTAATAACTTTATAGTTATTATTAATATAATATACGCTCTTATTAATATTTTAAAAGAAATTCGTATTATATTATATAATAAATTAGATCTAGAGTACTACTAGAACTAGCTCCTTTTTTATAATAATAAGTTTATTATAAATACTATTTATAAAGTATTTAAGGACTATATTTTATTATTTAAAGAGGTTATCGAGCTCTATAAGCTATATACTACTTAGTACTAAGATTTTTAGTATAAGTTCCTTTTTATTTACTTTTTTAATTAATATAATTACTTTTTTAATAATTATATTAAGGTCTTTAAGCTATACTTTAAGCTTAATAATTTAGATAATAATATTAGCGCTTATTAAACTATACGTAACCTATTATTTAGTTAGTTAAGTAAAATTACTTTTATTACTATTTAGCGTTTTATTAAATCTTTTATTAATTACGAAGTTACTTTTCTTAATTAGTAGTCCTTATTTTATTACTTTATTTATATTATTTTTATTACTTTAGTTTTTATAATATTTAAGTATATTAACCATAAGAAGGAGCTTAATAAGGATCTTTTTAAAAATAAGAAGTATATTATAAATAAGAACTTTTATACTAAGATCTATAATATTTATAAGGGCTTTATTATTATAAAGTATTTTATAAATATTAATAAAGAGCTCTTTATTTAAAAAAAAAGAGACCTTATTATTAATAATTATATTTTAGATATTAAGTATTATACTTATTATTATATATAGGATAATAAGGCTCTCCTGCTACCCCTTATTAACTATATTACTTAGGCTCCTATTTCTAGCTTCTATTTATTTAAACCTACCCTTAGTTCTTTTACTTCGAATATTAGTACTAGAGGTAGTTATTTTTTTATATCTAACTCTATTAGTAATATTACATAGACCGAGCTATATAATCTTTTTATTAATATTACTAATACTAATAGTTCTCGTTATAACCTTAGAATAAATAGTACTTATAATACTTATAAGTCGGTTAATAAGTTTAATATTACTACTATAACTAATACCTTACTTAGCTCTCTTTTTATATAGCATAGTACTTACCGTAATTAATCTACTATATATATATTTATTTAAGTACTTAATTTCTATTTTTTTTAATATTAATATAGTATTAATATTATTTAAGTTCGACCCTCTCGCTTTAGTATAGAGAGACTAGTGTAGCTTATTATTAATATAATAAATATATAAAAGAATATAGAGGCTATAAGGAGGGAGAGAGGGGTAATATATTAAAATATAAACTTAGGCTTAAGGGTTACGAAGTAGACTACTATAGAGGAGGATAAGTAGTATATTATTTAGTATATAGTCCCTTACCTAAAGGCGGGTCGGCGCTATTTATAACCCGTTTCCTAGAGACGTATTAAGCGTAAGTAACCGATTTAACCTTAATTATATATATTAATTATAAAATACTAACTATACGATACTTACCTTAATAACAAGTAAATTTATTAATATATTAACTATATAATAGCTCTTATCTAGCCGCTTAGTAATCCTCGCTATTTATTTTCTTTTCGTAACTTACGTAGCCGTAAATAAGCTTTATATAATATTTTATATAATACTTAAATCCGCTAGCTCTTTTTTTTAACTTTATTACCCTAGACGGGCGGCTAAGTAAGTAATAAGTACTATAATAAGTCTCTACGTATTTACTAATCTCGCGATATTTATAAATATATATATTATGTTAAAAATATATATTACTTCGAATATTATATATCGTATCCTTTTTTTTTTTTACTAAGTATAATACCCTTTTATTAAACCTAAAATATAGTATATTAATTATACTAATCTATTTTACTTAAATAGTTTATATTTACTTACTTACTTATTATAACCTCTAATAATAATAATAGCCCGAGCCCCCTATTTATTATTATTACCGATATTATAGTTAAATACTACGCCCTTTAGGGTATTAGAGTTAGAGGATCTAGCCCGCGGGTTAATAAGGCTCGAATTATTATTATAGAATAGTTAAAAGCCGAGGAAGCTAGCCGAGGCCCTACGCTAGAGCCTAGTCCGAGCCTAGAGCTATAGCCCGTTAGTTAAATAGAGTTTAAAAAGGACGATACTATTACTATAGTAATAGTAAATATACGTCTTCCTCTAGTTCTTTTTTACTAATAGTAAATAACTAACTAATAATCTCTTTTTTTTTAGCCCGAGCCCGGTAACGAGGAGTATATTAACTTAGTTAGCGCGTAGCTAGAGTAGTAGTAGTATTACTAATAATAGTACTAATAGTAGTACTAATAGCATAAAGAGTCCCTTAAGTAATAGTAGTACTAATAGTAGTACTAATAGTAGTACTAATAGTAGTACTAATAGTAAGAAGAGACCCCTAAGAGCCCTAAAAAGTATTAATAATACTACGATAGTTATATACCGACGGTACTAGTATTATAATAATTCCGAGGAAAATAGAATAAGTTATAATAATATAAAGAAGGCGTTTATAATATTCGAATTAATATAATACCTATTATTAGTTATATATTTTTGCTTAATATTACCTTTATTTAGATTTATATAAGAGGAATATAACCTACCTATAACTCCTAAAACTCCCGATAATTATTTAGTAACGGTAATCTAGTTAATAACTATCGTATTTATAACTACTACTGTCGATAGTACTTCGAGTATTATGGGGGAAGCGACCTGCCCCCTCCTCCCGGTAAGGTAGTCGAAGCCCGGAGGTACTAGGCAGTGACGAAGAATCACTAGGGATACTCGAATCACGTTGAACTCAGACATTCTTGCCAAAGAGAATTGAGTCGAATTCAATTAAATACAGCTATCCAACTTTTAGCAACTTTGAAGATCAATTATTAAAACCTCCAAGCCATCCCGATACCGATTCATTAACATGGCAAAGACCGAATCCCGCGAGCTCGAACTAAATTTTGACCAACATTCCTGCGAGAGAAAGAACCTGCCGGGTGTCGATAGCAAGGGATGGACCTATATTTATGGTTACCGATGCGTAGATTGCATCACAATATGTACTATACTTAGAGATAGAGGTGCCGAAGAGAGAATTCGAGGTAGAATTCTGACATTGAGACCTCTAGAACGCTATAGGTAAACCATCAAACCGATAAGAGAGTCATGGACTTGTCAGTGATGTGGATAGTGATCTATTGATACTCATCTGGCTGCAATGATAACTTCTCGCGAAAACGAGACCGATGTTGGTTCATGGCTCATGTAGGATTTTGGGTAGGGCTGTGTGACGTTGATCCCACCTCCTGATCGTTCAAAGAAGCCGATGAGCCGTCGTAAACCATCTGTTTCTACCTGCCACTAGTAATGACCATATGAAAAATCACAAAAAACAGAAACATAAGCATCTTACGTTGGGGGCCAACAATGTTTTGATGACTCGACTTATCGTGGCCATACTAGGTACGGCAGAAGAAAACACTTTTTGCACTGTCTCAATTCGAGCGTTATCGTCATCGGCATACAGGGACGAGTTGTCCATGTCCAGGGACTTCATTTTCCCAGAACCAGGGTTGCGATCTGATCGGATTCCGCTGCTGCCTATTGCAACTCGTCGCTAATTACTACTGAATATAACTCGAACAAAGCTCGAGTAGCGTTGGAAGCCGCTTGATCTGGGTTGTCTGCAGTACGTGCAGGAAGCTCTGTTGTGGATGGTTGGGTCATCGCCGTCAGGTCGGAAGACAGCGTGGCGCCAACGCTGAATCTTTGTTAGTGGCATGAATTAAGATGCTTCAGTGCGTGGCCAGTACGGCACTTATTCGTACTGTGACAATGACACGTTGCTCTGTTGGCTACATGCAAGGCTGAACTGCCTACTTCCAACCGTCAGTCTGCAATATCTGACTTTCTCCTCTACACCAACCTGTTGAGCGCTTAGCCTTTTCGAAGATGCCATCACCGAGTCCCACCGAGAGCAGCCAGCTGGGGCCTACGAAGCCTACGATAAAATCACTTCAAGACCTCACTCTTATCGAAGCCTGGGACAACGATGCGAATGCGCCAAAATACGTCACCTTCTACCACATAACGGACGAAGCGGAACTATGGTTTGGTCAAAGCTCCAAGAACAAGCGGGAGATACCTCTTGAAGAATACCAAGAGGCACTGGAGCTCGTACCCGACGAAGAGATCTATCCCGAAATTCCAACTGGCGCCAAGCTCACCATCGCACCAGACAACATCGATGACCCAGTGTTCATAAAATGGCCCGGCCTCAACTGCTATGAGTCGATGAAGGGAACACCCTATGTGTGGAAATCCGTCCTTGATGAGACCTTGATCATGGAAAAGGTCTCCAAGAATCCACATCCGTATATCATCAAGTACTATGGCTGCCGAACCGCACGCGATCGCATCACGTCTCTCGTTCTCAAGTCGTACGACTGCACGCTCACCCAGTTTGCCCGGCAGCCAGGTTTCAAAGATCTCGACAAGGAAAAGTTTCTGGACGGCCTGGAGTCAGCAGTGTCGTATGTACACTCGTTGGGCCTGGCACATAACGACATCAATCCGGACAACATCATGATGGGAAAGGATGGCATGCCTGTTCTTATTGATTTTGGGTCTTGTGCTCCGTACGGGCAAAATCTCCAGTCCTTGGGCACCGATGGATGGTACGAGGAGGTATTCTTCACTTCAGAGAAGTCACACGATGATTTCGCCATGAAGAAGATGAGAGTTTGGATACAAGATCCGCAAGTATGATGGGTTAAGTCCGATCCGAAAGCTAATGCAGGTTCTCCGGCATTGTTGGCGCATAAGATGGACCTCCACGGAATGGAGAACTACAGTGGTCGAAAGGGAGGCGGATCAGGGAAGATCTTGTCTCTCTCATGTCGCAATGCTACACGTTATGCTGCCCACTGATTACTGTCCGACGATACTGCTCACCTCCATGCGAGAACTCGATACTGGGGGTATTATATGCTGGAATGTGAGAGCAGAAAAGGGCAACTGGAAAATGATAAGGGCCGTTAGCAGCGTACTTGAACTTTAATATAGAGCGAAGTTTGCAATCCAAAGAAAGACTCGACAGATAAAGTTGATATTATGATCCTGAATCAGTGGTGTGGTGGCGGTGATTGTGGTATCGAAGACTCGTGATGGCTTTCCGGATGAAATGCAACTGCGTCAGATACCGTGCCCAACCTGAAAGTACCTGGATTTTATCTCTTCCGAGCTAAGGTAAAACAAAAGAATGCAAGTTTGATGAAAATGTGCGAAGAAAGAACTCACCTGTATTTTGTTGTCTCGAAAATTCCTCCGGGCCATCCTTGTTAACCCCCCCCCCCCCCTGGTGCTGGATGTTTTTCTCGCCTCCTGTTCCCCCCTAGAAAGCCCTGCCTGAACGTGAACCTCTTCATAATTCCTCCTCTTCTGTTATGTCAGGCCTTGCTCCCTTCATCTCACCGGACCTTTCCCTCTTCATCCAAATCTGAACCTCGCTCATCTTTGAACCTTGCCTTACCTCAGCGTCATCTGCAGAAGGCACACATAGGACTCAGAAGATCAAAGCTACGGAGAAGCCTCTCTAGCGGTAGCAGATCGTGGGGTCTTTTACCTTGACATAAGGCATGGTTATAACGCTCAAGATTCAAAACAGGAAAGCAACTGAGGCAAAACACGAAAGACCTGAATCACAGATCCTCAATCAGCGAGTGCCTATTGTCTTTGTAGTAGTAAACACATCATCATTTTCACCGCCAGGAATCACCATTCAATATTGAACATTAGTCGTTGCGTATCATTAAACGCTATCTACGCGGAAAGATATTCTATCATGCTATCGTACTGGGATAGATGGTCCCCAGAAGATGACCGAGGAGCTTGCAGTCTGGGAGCTAGATGCCTCCATGGAGCAATCCAGGTCATCTATTTCTCTTCCCGATCTGAAGGCCCTAGGTGTGGAGTCTACACCTCTTGTTCAACCAAACAAATCTTTTACTCGTTATCCGTAACCTTGATAACAGTAGACTTGAACTGGCGCGCAGGGATCTTGCGGTTGAAGAGAATATCGGCCTCACGGTACGAGCGGTGCTTGAGCTCAGGCAAGAAGAAGAAGGCCATGATCCAGCACACACAAGCGGTACCGCCCCAAACGAAACCGCACTTTCCAGCAACGTTCCATCCCGTGGGGTTGAGGAGCTGTGAGGCGAGGTAGATCATGGGGATCTCGGCGACGTAGTACGCGGCGCGACCGACGGCGGTGCTGAGGGCACGAAGACGGACGGCAGAGGTCTCGGCGATGATGGTATAGGAGATGGGGCCGAGAGTACCAGCGAAGACGAAGGAGATCAATATTCCCAGGACGGCTTGGGCATAGTTGGTGGCGCTGTTCTGGGGGATCGAGGCGCAGACGCCCAGGAGCATGAGGAAGGTGATGTTCACGGCCGTACCCCAAAGGTAGATTGTGCGGCGGCCGAACCAGGCGGTCAAGGGCCAGGACAGAGCGTTTGCGACGAACTGGAGGCAAGAGTTGATGAGATTGAGGTTGAAGGCCATGTCGTGGGCCATGCCGGCTTGCTCGAAGAAGAAGGTAGCCTGGTTGGCGATGAGGTTACCGGCGAAGTTCTGTGAGGCGTACATCAGGCAGGTAATTGTTGTACGGCGGAGATCGACGCCCTTGAAGAGGTCGAGGAGAGTCGGGGTTCCACCGATGTTGGCCTCGATCTGGACGGTACGCTCGATCATGGCGAGCTTGCGCTGAGCTTGGCCGGCGGTGCCGTGGGTGGGGCCGAGACGCTGGACAGAGCGGAGGGCTTCCTCCTTGCGGCCGCGGCGGATGAGCCACCAAGGGGACTCAGGAGCAAACCAGAGGATTACCATGAGGGGAAGCTGGAGATCGGGTCAGTCTATGGTCATGCGAAGTACACGGGTGGTGAGTGAACTCACGGGGAAGATCCACTGGAGAGCAAGGGGCGCGCGCCACGCCCACTCGTCGGTACGGCTGTTGAAGCCAAGAGTTGCGCCGGCGACGATGATGGAACCGATGGACCAAGACATCTGCAGAGTGGCCGTGCAGGCACCACGCAGGGCGAGGGGGACAATCTCAGAGGCGTAAGCGGGGCCGATGGCGATGAAGAAACCCCAGGGAATACCCTCGAATGCCTGTCCGATGGTGAGGACTTCAAGCGAGTTGGCCTAAATTAGGGTCAGTACATATTCTGATGCGCAACACTGCGATCGGGATTGCCTACAAAGAAGGAGATGAAAATGGTGGCGTTCATCATGATCAAGGCAACCATGGTGGCCAGGCGATATCCGAGCTTGTTGACAACGGGGCCGGCGAGGAAGACACCGACAAAGGCACCGCACTGGCCGGCCTGGAAGAGGGCGGACTGCCACTTTGTCTCGATGGCCTTGCCCCCACCAGCAACTTCAACACCATATCTATCCTGGAAGGCCTTCTGGGCAACAAAGTTGCCGTTCAAGAACATGTCGAAAGATTCCATGACCTATTGGACAAGTACCCCAATTAGTAACTGACTCGCGAGCTTGAAGACGGAATGGCGGCCCGAAAAGCCGCCAACAGACGCAGGGGTCGATGGGGTCGATACCCAAACACGAACAATAGAGAGAAACTTACAATGGTGAAGCACATGATAAAGGCCCAGAAACATGCCTTGGGGTGCGTCTTGACGGCCTGCCACAGGCCCTGGTTGTGCTCTTCGTTCTCGCCGTCAAAGGCATCGTTCATGAGGTCCGCGTCGGCCAGCGTCTTGTTGCCTGCCGCGTCAATGTGGTGGGCATCGCCGACCTTTTCGTCGACAAAAACGTTGTCATCCCTGCTGGAGGCGTCGTGCCCGTCCTGGGCGAGGCCTGTCGACATCTTGGGCTGAATTTGTGTGAGAGTTCCGAGGGTGGTCGTGGTCGGTGGTGGCTGCAAAATCGGAGGATTTTTGGCCAACAGCAAATTGCAACTAGCAAAAGCCAAGAGAGAACAAGCAACGGCCAAGAGACAACAAGCAAAAAAGCCAAGAGAAATTTGGAGTTGCCCTGGTGGCCAAGATTTCTTTCTAGGAAAGGGGGACTCGGGAGCATCCGGTCTTATACCATCCACCTGCCCCCAACGCCGGGGACGGGGGCGGCCTTCAAAGGCTTCCTGCTCCTGACGAGATGGGCTTGACGAGAGACTGGAAAATGCGAAATCTCATGCTGTCATTGGTGCGCGTAAGAATACGGGTAGGACGGGGCTCTGCGGAGCTTTGGAGTAAGCATCGTGTCCTGACCATGTCCCTGAGGGCGTCTGGGGTGTCTGGGGGACAAGAAGACTGGTGATAGGTGGGAGAACTCTAGTGACTCTTCGTGCGGGGGGATCGTGCGGGGAGCGGGGAGTCTCGAGGTCCAGTTCTCCAAAGGCCAGCCGAGGTGACGGAGTTGTTGGACAGTATGGGCATGGTGTTGGACTGGAAGAGCCTAGGAGGTGGGTGAAGTGGATGAGCAAGATGATGTGGATGAAGAGGAGGAGGAGAATGGATGGAGAGGAGAAGTTTGGAGAAAAGTTGGAGAGACCCAGTTGTGTCCTGATCCAAGACTAAACCAAACCTTGCCTAGCTGTGTTATCCTGGCTCACACCCTTGCTTGAGGCAACTTGAAGCCGCATTGTGCAAATTGCAACTGGTTGCATTCCAGACGGGCTTCGGATGGCTTCGGGCACTAGTCAAAGGCCCGATGCCGTTTCATGCGCCGATGCGCTCGCTTCAGCAGCCAGCGTTTGCACATCTGTACCGGTAGATTCGCGTGGCCTGATAATGACATTTCATCCTTCCATCCGGTATCCGGTATCCGGTCCTGTAGAGAGAGTAGCATTTTACTATAGCCAAAGGTCGTTGCAGAAAGCGGCCCCGATTTCCCCAGGAAACTTTGACGCGGGTACGAATATTCGTACTCCGTACTCACCCGCTCGACCCCGTTTGATTCCCACTCAACTTAGCCTATGACGTTTGTCGACGTGGTTGGGCGTCTTTCCTAACCTGGGCTTAGAAAAAGTTCGTTCTGGTCGGCCCGTATTCAAGGAGCAGTGTGGAGACAAAGAATTGCTTTTGGCCAGGGTTCAGCCAGTGATGTTCTCGAGGAATCAGACGAAAACTAATCGCCCCCTCCTGGACATGCCATGTCGATTGGCATGTCAAGTTGAGAACACTGGAGACCGGACGAGTAGACTGCTTTAAGCTTGGGTTCGCTCTTCTCCCCCAGAGAGGCCCGCTGAACTCCAGACTCCAGAATATGATGGACAAATGGAAGAAATGACGACTATCAGTTCCCCACGGGTGCCGCGGGGAGTCAAACCTTGATTCTTTGAAAGGCATCAGTATCACGAGGGGAGCCCATACCCACCATTCACCCCAGAGAACTTTCGACTCACCTCATAGCATGTGACTTGGTGATTTAAATCTTTAGCCGAACTTTTGCTAGCCGGCCCACCGCTACTCACAATCTCTGGGAGCCTCCAGAAAACGGTGTGCCTAACCCTATGCGTGCGAATCAGACGTGGTCGCCGTTGGCCCGTTGATGGTATTCACAACTCTCTCCCCACAGCCTCGACCACGGCCCCATACCCCGCAACAGCAAAGTCTCAACCGCTAGGTTTCGAAACACGATCAAAATATAACCGTGATCAAGCCAGCCGCTCGAGGAGCCGGACAGTCGGTAATCTTGCACGCCGTCCATGGCCCCGTCACTCTTTTGACACTTTGATAGCTGGGTGCCGCGGCCGTGGTCGTGGTCCCTCGGTACGTGTGCGGCTGCAAAAACGACACGGGTATCCCTCGCTCTTGGCAGCGAGCTCCGAAGGCGTCGTCTATCGCCGCTGCCCAGCAGCAAGCCAACCGGCTTGGCGTTGATCCTTTGACAGCCGCCAGCGTCAGCGGCTGATTTCGGTCTTCCGAATCAATGAAATCGCTTCCTGGCTACCGACGCGGCAACTGATTGGTTGCACCTGGCAAGGTTCATCTGCAGCGCAGTTCAGACGCTTTCGCCAAAGTGTTTAACCGTTCGGGTTGTTTTATTCTCTCGGCTTTTAAACTTACACGGCGTTTCCTTACGGAAAGGACTCAATACCTTATTTGATCCAACCTGGATTGCGGATGGTAATTGCTCGAACTGCTCATAGTTTTGGAGAAGAATACGATCGTAACCAAGTTTCATGCACTACTACACCACTACGTGCGTTTCCTGCCTATCTTCAACTCTGCCTCTTTCGACATCGATGAAGGGCGGATATGGGAGGATTTTCGGCAAAATAACACGTACTCGTCATTGGCTAGTCGGGGAAAGTCCATCACTGACGCCATCTATCAGCCGAAGGAATCTCGAAGCACAGATCGAGCAATTTGGTGAAGAGTTCAGACCACACCGTGCGCTGACCATCCGCCCAGGGCGTAGCAACACCTAACCCAAGAGCTTTGGCGAGCGAGTCGGCCTAGAAGCCCAACTCCAAGATGATGTAGACACATCGGCGCAGTTGGCTCTTTAGGTTGAGGCAAGTTCTATCATGGAGAACTGAGCAACAACGGAATGGTAATGTTCGGAGCCTGGAAACCTAAATCCCGAGATTCTATTTTGAATGATCTAGGATATGGCTGGTAATCCTCTAGGAGCTCGCCTTTTTCCTCTCCGGCTGCACTGCCTCCCGCCAAGAGTTTGCGTGACCATCAGTTGCATCTCAAGATTTTCACGTTCGAGCAAATGAGAGATTCGAGACTTGACGAGCATGACACTTCTCGTTCCAAAAGACACAAGATCATGCCAGACAGTGGGCATTTGCAGGTATTGATCACCAAGTCTGTAGACGTGTTTGATCATTGAAGCCTGTTCATCAACTCGTCGAGTCGACCTCGAGTCAGGGTAGCTGCAGGGGCCAGGGACGATCACTTTATCAATCTCCAACTGCGTACCAAAAAATTACCCCTTTCCCAATCCCGCAGAAATCTCAATATCTGTTCAGTTGATCTTCCGTCACCCTTCGAATCCACCATTCGAGCCGGTCACTCCGTGAATACGGATACCAACACCCACACGGATACGCTGCCTCACAAGGCAATAGTCGAGCCCGTATCCAACCGGATAATACCAAGGGTGCCCACGAAATGGACTCTCTGCCCCAAGAAATATTGGATAACATCCTCGGTCGCATACCTGCGCGAGAGAGCGACATCCGAAATGAAGAACTTTGGGAGCTCCAAGAATGGACGGATGTTAACTCGGAAGCATTCGACCGGATCTTGCGGCCGTGTGCCGCACATTTCAGCTGGGCATCGAACGGGCAACCTTTCGCTCACTCCGAATCACAAGTGACGACTTCAAATTTCGTCCGAGATGCCTTTAAACGGTGCCCCAACCGCCAGACCTCACTACGCGAGCTGCGCGTGGACATTGTAACACTCGAATACCGGCACAGCTCAGGACCCTCGGATATCGTCGAGAACATGGCACACTGCGACATTGCTCATACCGAGATTCTGAAAGAGTTGATGCTTATGCTGTCCGAATAGCCAGACGACACGCGAGTATCATTGTCCATCAGCCTCAATGATAAACACTTCAGACAATCGAGATACACCGAGCTTCACCATTTCAATGTGGTGAATCCTCAACTCCTTCCGATCGTGCCATGCGTCCGTAGCTTGAGGTTCTCGTTCTTCCTCCACTCGTCTCCGAGACGGAATATCGAGGGCGACTTCCTCCTTATGCAAAAGTTTCCTAACTTGGAATCTTTCGACCTCGATGCTTCGGAGTTTCCCTTCTTTATCAAACCGCGACGAGAAATGCGAGAGTCTCTGATTAACACCCTATTATCTTATCAGTTACTGACATCGGCAAGGTATAGAAAGCTTATTATCTTACCTAATAAATACGGTCCCTTCTAGCAGCTACCGTAGATAACTAATGTTAGTATCCTTATTATAAGGTAATTAGTTCGAACCGTAGTTAACGAAGAGATTAATTAAACTATATAAATATTTACGTAATAAGTATAAAAAAGAGGTTCTAATTATAAGTTAAGCTAGTTATAATAATTATAAATAGGGCCCCTAATTAGCCCTTACGTAGTTAGCTATATACTATAGTTAAATTAGACTTCTAATCCGATATTAACTTTTTTTTTTTTTATTAATTTAATTATTACGGTTAGAAATATAATTCGACCTCAGGCCTATTTACTAAGTCGTCTCTTTTTCCTTCTTTTTTTTACTTTTTTTATATAATTTATTCCTCTATTTATATAATAACTTTTCCGCTATTTACGAATTATTTTAACCCCTTATTTAGTACTATTTTTATAAAAGCGTTTACGAGGTTATTTTTATTATTAATCTAACGGATTTTAAGTATTTTACGTCTTTTATATAATTATTTAAGGGCTATAATATTAATTATAAGCCTCTTTTCTTTCGTCATTTTTAATTTAATAAAGTATTCGTATAGTAAGTAAGAATCGGTATAAATAACTATTAAAATAAGTAAAAAGTTAAGTCGATTAGTAATCTTTTTTAGCGTTATTAAAATCGTATAAGAGAGGTTAATACTATTAACTATATTATAAACCTCTAATACTAATATATTTCTTATTATTTACTTATTTTTAGTTAATAAGTAATAAATTATATTACTATATATAGTAAATTCGCTCTTATTTATACTCTTATTAGCTAGGATAATAATATACCCTAATTATAAAATAAGGTTATTATTATTTATAAATAACTTATTAATAAAAATAAAGAGCTTATTAATTATAAAGTTAATTAAGTAATAAACAAGGCCTCGATCGAGATTTGTTTATTATTACTTAAGCTACTTATTAAATACCTCGATATTTTATTTAGTTAGATTTATAACCTGTGCTACCTTAGTATAATTAAAAATTACCTTAAGTTAATAAATATTTATAATATATACCTCTCGTATAAGCTTAATTTTATATTATTTCTTAACGTTAGTTACGTTTAAATCGACGAGGTTAATTTTCTCGTTTTATCCTTTTTATTAAAAAATAACGGTTTCTTTTTTAATTATAAAAATCCTATTATTAAATACTAAGAGGGTATTTATTATAAGGACCTCTTTTAACTTTATTACGAAGCTTATTTTTTAAAGCTCTTTATTTTCTTTTTTTATAAAGTTAATATTAAATAGGCTTAATATATTATTAGTTTATATTCTAACGATCCTAAATTAGTTATTTTTATATTTAGAAATTAATAAGTATAAGTCGTACGTAGAAATAATTATTAATAATTAATTAATATAAAAATTGTAATAAGTAGCTTATTAATAAGTACCCGATTTTGCGAGCTTATATAGTAGCTTAAGTACTTTAATAATTATACTTTTTAAGTACTTACTAATTATTTTTTTTTAATAAATAGGCTAGGATTTTTTTTATAAGCCCTATAGCTAATTAGGTATAGGCCTAAGTAATATTATAGCTCTAAATTTTATATCCCTTTTTCCATAGTAATATTATTAATACTATTATTAATCGTTAGCTATAGCGCTATATAATAAGCGATTATATAAGTAATATTACTTTTTTAACGTTATCGTACTTTTAAATTACGTATTTAGATTTCTTATATAGTTAGGGTATTCTTTTCCCTTTTATTTTATAAACTATTCGTAATTTAAATATATAGAGGTTTATATACTTTTTTAAATCGTAAAGTATAAATCAATAGACCCCTCGATTATAAAAAGTATTTATTTTAATAAGATCTAATTCTTTATATAGCTTTTTAATAGTTATAATTACGCCTTTTTTACGTAGTTTAACTATTAACTTAAAATTAGCTTTCTTTTTTATTATATAAAAAGTATTAATTACCTCGTCGTTAGTAATAAATTGCTACGTTAGGGCTTACTATCGTAGTCTTTTACGACGTCTTATTAGTAATATTAATACCCTTTTAGTAATTTCCTCTTTTTTATTATTTATTAGTACTACTACGATAATTTTATTAAAGATAATTTCTTATACTTTTATTACGGGTTATATAGTTTCCCTTAGCTTTTTTTTTTTTTATAAATTAGAAATTATTTTATTAAGATTTATATAGTATAGTCTAATTATTATAATTAATATTTTAAGTAGCTAGTTATAATCTTTTATAATTATATAAGAGCGCTTATTAATAGAAATTAACTTATATAGCTTAGCTTATTATTAAGTAATTTCGTACTATACTTATATATCTAAATTTAGTAATATATTTAAATTACTTCTTATATTAGGCCTATTATACGTAGTAATTACTTTATTAACTTACCTTTTTATACTTATTTTATGTAATACTTATATTACTTTTTTAACTACTCGGGCTTATTAATTTATATCTAGCGATAGTAACGAGACTAAGGTCGTTCTTAAATATACTTTAAATATTAATAACGTTAGTATAAGCCCGTTAGGCCCTATAATATTATTATAGTATTTAAGTACTATTTAGAGGTATTCGTTATTAATAAAATTGGGATTTTCTTTTTTAATAATTCTAAACGCCCTTTTTAGTTATTAGTATACCCTTTTTATTTTTTTAATATTATAGTACGCTTTAATAAGTACGATTTTTAACTATATATTATAAACTATTATATTTTTTTTAAATTTTACTAATTTAAAACTAGTATTAGCGTCGGTTTTAATACTATTTAGTAGTCCTTAGTATATATCGATCTATCCTCTTTATAAGGCTACTTATACTATTTTTATTTATAAATCCTAAAAAAATTACCCTATTTAAAAAAATATAGCTACGTTAATTATATATAGGACTAGCTAACTATTTAAGTAGAAAATATTAACAATAATTTCCTAATTAAAATTAAGCTTATTACGTAATTTAAATTTGAATTTATATAGGCTCTGCGTATTTATTTAGTATTAGTAATATACTTTTATTAACTACTCTAGCGCCCTTATTTTAATATTATTATTACTTAATTACTTTAGGAAGTTATATAACTTCGTAACTAATAAGTACCTAAATCTCTAGTATAATTATCTAAGCTCACTTTCTATTAAGTAATTAATTAACTTCGTATTATTAATAAGCTTTATAAATATATACCCCTATTATCGTTCGACTATTTTAAAATACTTATTACTAAAGATTTTATTCTTTATATTATTAAATATAATACCTAATTAATCTATATCTTTTAAGTATAGGAAAAATAGGGTATTAATAAGTAAAATATAGAAAATTATTATTCCGAAGTACGTTTTTATTTTTATTATACTTAGGGTAACGATTTTTTTACTTAGGCCGAAGCTAATTTTCGTAATACCCGCTATTAATATATTAAGTATTACTAGTACGATCTTTTATAATATTTAAAATTACCCTTTTCCTCTTATTAACTATTATAATACCCTAGTATTTAGAATAATCTTATAGAAATTATCTAAGCCGTACTTTTCGCTCATATAAAATACCTATACGAGCTTAGTATTTAAATAATCTAGTTAATATAAAAAAGACCTTTCTAACTATTCTTAGATTTATTTAGTATTTTATTTTATTTTTTTTAATATTAAAAGAGATAGCGTCTTTTTTTTAAGCATTAAGAGAATAGATTTTAGCCTTATTAAATTTACTTTTTTAGCTATTTCCGTATTTATTATCTAAGGGACTTTCCTTTACTATCCGTAAATAAAAGCCTACTTATTAAGAGCTTTTATTACTTTCTATTCGTTTAGCTTCGTATATTTTTTAAAAGTTAACGGGGTAAAAAAAGAGTAATTAATATTATTAATTTTGTTATAATTTAATTTGTTAATATAGGGAGTAAGATTTTTTTTATTTTTTAAATCTTTTATAAGAGGTAAATATTTTAAGCTACTATTTTAGTTACTATTACTAAGTTCTATACCCCTAGATTTACTTTTATATATAATAAGGAATTAGTTAAACTAATAAGGGCTAGTTTTACTATTTATTACTCTCGACTTTCTATACTATTTATATAATTTAATACGCTCTTTTTTAAAGTAGTTACTTAATTAATATTTATTTTTTTTATAAATATAGTATTACTTCTTTTATTACCCTATTTATAAGTTAAATCTTAGCTTATTTAATAAATTTAGGCCTCTTTATTAATAAATTCCGTATTTAGCCTCTTTTTTTTTTTTATTATACGTTCGATCGACTTAATATTATTAATAAGGGCCGTTATATACTTAGAAATAGGTTTAGTACGGTATTCTTATTTTAATATTAAAACTAGATCTTAGCCTCGAGTAAAGTATTTTATAGTTTTTAAATACTTAGTATAAAGTTATTTTTATTTTTAGTATATACTAGATTATAATATAAAAATATCCGACTTTTTATTTATTAATTCCCTTATTTAGCTAGGTTCTTATTAGCTTATTAATTTAATTAATAAGCTCTTTAAAAATCTCTACTTATAATTTACCCTTTATTATTTTAGTTATAAATATAAAAGAAATCGCTCGTAGCTTAAATAGGAGCTCTAGGTTTTTATT